GCAAGTCAGTTTTTCCATCTATCTATCTATCTATCTATCTATCTATCTATCTATCTATCTATCTATCTATCTCAGCCAATGTGTTACCTATCTATCTATCTATCTATCTATCTATCTCTCTCTCTCTCTCTCTCTCTCTCTCTCTCTCTATCTATCTATCTACGAAGTGTGCTGAAATGTTCAAGCCCAAGAAACTCCCTCCTTGATATTTGCTCATATTTTAACAAGTTGATTGGGTCATTTTTTCATCACGCACTCATACTAGTATCATAATCACACCCTCACATGAATATATACAGGGGTTAGACAAAATAATGTGAACACTTGTCTTAAACATTTATTTATTAACTATTAGGTGTTGGACCTTCATTAACTTCTAAAACTGCTTTGATTCTACGTGGAATGAAATCAAATAAGTTTTGAATTTTTTCCAGTGGAATTTTATTCTATTTTTCAATCAAGGTCTCACTTACTTGGTTCAGCGACAATGGAGGAAAGAAATCTGTTACTAACTCTCTGTTCTAGAACTCCCCCAAAATGGTTCAATTATGTTGAGATCAGTTGATTATGCTGGCCATGGAAGATGTTTAATTACGTTATGAGGCTTATCAAACCATGACTTCCCTTTTTTGCAGTGTTTGTAGGTGCATTATCATCTTGGAATATGCCACTTTCTGACAGCAGTATGGTAGCCATTCTAAGGACATTGTCATTAAATATGTCGAGATATTTATCTGCAGTAATTCTACCATTAAGAGTGATGATAAGACCAGAAGAATACCAGCAAAATGCTGCCCAAATCATTACTGAGCACCCTCCATGTTTGACTGTCGGGACTACGCAATCCGGATCCTAGGCTTCACGCGTTCTCCAGACCGTTTTTTTAGGAAATAACCTGAAAGAAGACTCATCAGGCCAAATAACGGTTTTCCATTCCAATTTTTGTGATCATTACACCATTTTTTATAACTTGGTGTTCGTCTTTGTGGTCAGAAGTTTAGTAATCGCAGGTCTTCCGTGGATACTTGCTTTGTGGAGCGCCCGACGTACTGTATGTGTAGAAACTGTATTGATTAAGTGAGTAATGAGTTCTGATGTCACTTTTGCTGAAGAAGTTTGATGAGTGTTTTTGCCACAATTCGTTTTAAAGCTCGTCAGTCTCTTTCTGTCAACTTTGATTTCCGTCCACTATTAATCCTTACTGATTATTTTTTTGCCTTGTTTTGTGTAAGCCGTCATAACCGTGGACACTACAGCTCGTGACACATTCAATAATTCAGACGTTTTGGTCACAGATGCTCCTGCTAATCGAGCACCGAATATTTGTCCTCTTTGAAAATCCGACAGGTCACGCATTTTAGTACGTAACTCTTTTACCTGAAGATAAATAATGTCTTAATTAAGTGGAAAAGGTAAAGGATTAAATGCTGAGCAGTTACCGTTTATGCCCGTTTGATGTTTACAAATACCCGGAAATACCGGAATCGAAAAAAAAAAATGCTATTTTTGCAAGATGTTCACATAATTTTGTCTAACTCCTGTTATACATATACATACACTTTGTCTGACGATCGCTAAAGCGTGAAACCCAGGGTCACAAACTCACATCTATCCAACCAAATATACATACATATATATATATATATATATATATATATATATATATATATATATATAAAATAAGAAAAATATACGGAAAAAACAAACAAAAATCCTAATATGCAATTATGCTGTTTTAATGTTAATATAATGTCAACGTCGGACGTTTTGGTCTAGTAGACCATCTTCAGGACATATTCATAAAACATAATTAACATTAGACTATATTTAATTCAACGTGAAAAGACGATGGACATAAGAGTAAGACTAATCAAAACAGACAACTGAAATTTTTCAAGATCAGCGTTCCGTTTCAATATGATCACGTCGGCGTCACGTGGGCGATGTTGTGAAAACGTATTCCTAAAATATAGTATTATGTTTTATGAATATGTCCTGAAGATGGTCTACTAGACCGAAACGTCCGACGTTGACATTATATTAACATTAAAACAGCATAATTGCATATTAGGATTTTTCTTTGTTTTTTCTGTATATTTTTCTTCATACTGTCGGGTCTATATCCATATATTTGCTTACATATATATATATATATATATATATATATATATATATATATCGGAGGTATCAAAAATACTTTTACAATCTTTGGGGGCGGGTGCCGCACACCAAAATAAGGTCAAAAGTTCATTTAAACATGTCCGTAAATCCTTCGTTTTTGAGTTATTAAATTTAAAGGAAGTTTATGGTAGATGGCGCTGTATTGCCATATAGACTAGGTTACATTTGGCATTCGTGTACATTTGTGACTAGTATGTCTTCATTGTTTAACGTTTGTAGTAGTGGGTTAACTGGGAATTGTTCCGTTTAAGAATTGCAGGATAATCATATCATGAGCAGACAGATATGATTTTTACGCAGGAATGGTAATGGATGCGAGGCTACCTGGCTGTATCAGATTGCATTTCCAAATCGAAGACAGCCGATTCAGCCAACCTTTGCTGCTGTCTATCGTCGTGATGCTGAGACAGGTTTCGTATCACCACAAACTATGGATCGAGGAAAACCGAGATCCGCTCTTACGCCTGGCCACGAAGAACGCATTCTACAGGCTTTCGGAGAAGATCCAGGTATCAGCACATATCAAGCAGCCCTAGAATGTCGTACAACTCATAGTACCGCATGGAGGGTACTTCAAAAGCAGCTCCTATATCCGTATCATTTGCATTGTGTGCACGGATCTTTCGTCCTTTGATCACACACCACGGGGAAAATTTTGCCGATGGTTGATTGCTCAAACTGCTGATCCGTTTGGAAGAGATGGAATAACAAATTTACACAATCAACATTTGTGAGTGGATCGGAATCCTCAGCATCAATTTATGATTAATGTGTGGGCTGCAATTATAGAGGACTACCATATAGGTTCATATGTTCTCTCAGTACGTCTTACAGGAAATGTCTACAGGAGCTTTATTTCGAACACACTTCCAGACCTGCTAGAGGATGTACTCATGCTAATAAGAAGACGCATATGGTTCATGTATGATTTTAGTTACATTGATTGTATTTTGGATTGTATATTTAACAACATCTAACATAAACTTTAAACTTAATTAAAAAACGAAGGCTTTGTGTACATGTGTTTTATTGATTTTGTCCTTGTTTTGGTTTGAGGAACCCCCAATGTTTGTAAAAGTATTTTCGATAAACCCTATATATATATATATATATATATATATATATATATATAGATAGATAGATAGATAGATAGATAATATTAGTGGTAAATACATGTATATTTTTTTTAATAAAAATTCCAAGAGGATAGAATCAGGTAGAACTCAATGTCACGGACAGAGTAAGGATATAATAAAAAGGCTTAAACACTAATATTCCATGGTCATAATTTATTCCATTGGAATCGAAATATCGATCCAATTCATCAGACCTACAAATTCAAAAAGAAAACAGAAAAAACAACTTCGGAAATAAAAACAGAATTTAGAGAGAGTGTAATTATGAGGGGTAACATACGAAGGAGGGAGAATAAACCTTAACAGAGAGACTTTTAGGAGAGTTGAGTGGAAGGGGTTTAAGTAAGAGAAATATGAATGTTGTCGGATGTCTAATGCATAAAGATACATTTCGTGGTGACATACACACACCATAGATGATCTAATGTTGAAGATATATATATATATATATATATATATATATATATATATATATATATATATATATATATATATATATATATATATATATATATATATATATATATATATATATATATCTGAGATGAGGTATTATGTATATTTATATTATTATTCGGACTATTGTCCTCATTTTTGTCGCCATATTTATCACAATTGTGTCATGTGTCCTCAAGGACACATGGCACAGTGGATAAAGGCGTTGGTTAGATCCAGTGACAGGACCCAAAGAGTGTGAGTTCAATACCCGGTTAAGGCAGTGGAGAACTTTCAGAGGGAAAATTAGCAGGAGATAACTGACATCCATTAAATATGACACGTGGAACTAGAACAGTCTACCCCAGTGAGCGAAATAAAGGGTTCAGTTCGAAATTCCAACCACCTGAAGAAGGCCGGAGAGTACAAAGGCCAAAACGTTGTGATAAATATGGCGACAAAGATGAGGACAATAGCCCGAATAATGTAATATATATATATGTGTGTGTGCAAATGTTCCCAGTTTTCGTTTACTTATTAAAAAGCGGTTTTCTACCACGTATTCAATCTCTAACTTTCACGAAAATGGATGCTCGGAAATTTTGCAACTATCTAATCTGTTACACATTATCGTTATCGCTATATCGCTGAGGATCGACGCTAATATATATATATATATATATATATATATATATATATATATATATATATATATATATATATTGGTTACGGGCATATATGCACGCTTTGATAGAGTCACAGACTTACAGGCGTAAATTATAACTCATACTTTACACATAATCAATAAAGGTCTTCCATCATCCTGTTTACTCATTTGCCTTTATCATTTTCTCGTTCTCGTGTTACGTGACTTGAATCCAATCGAAGTCAACCTGATGTCTTTGTCATCCGTGGAACCATTTAGTGCTGTCAATTATTTCCAGACTGTCGTGCCAGGAAAATTCGGCTTAACACTTTCTTTTGAAGATTAAAAAAAATCTGCACACGGGACAGATCGTTAACTTACAGTAATATTTCAAATTCCGACGATATTCACTACAGCTAACAGCTCTATCCGACTTTCTAATAAAAAATGGAAGAGAAAAGGACAACCAAATACAAATGAATAAAATGGAAAATTACGTTGATTACCGAAGTTAAGCAACGTCGAGCCTGGTCAGTACCTAGATTGTTGACCGCTTGGGAATACCAGGTGTTATAAGCTTGGATGTGTGGGTGCTATGACTTACAGTTATATCACGTTGATACACCGGTTGCCGTACGATCACTGAAGTTAAGCAATGTCGAGCCTGGACAGTACCTAGTTGGGTGACCGCTTGGGAAAACCAAGTGCTGTAAGCGTGGATGTGCGGGTGGTATAACTTATGGCTGCATCACGTTGATACACCGCTCCGTACGATCACTGAAGTTAAGCAACATCAAGCTTGGTCAGTACTTAAATGGGTGACGACTTGGAAATACCAGGTCCTGTGAGCTTGAATGTATGGGCGGTATGGCTTACGGCCATATCACGTTGAAACACCGCTTTCCGTACGATCACTGAAGTTAAGCAACGTCGAGCCTGGTCAGTACTTAAATGGGTGACCGCTTGGGAATACCAGGTGTTTAAGCTTGGATGTGTGGGTGGTATGGCTTACTGCCACATCATGTTGATACACTGCTTTCCGTACGATCACCGAAGTTAAGCAACGTGAATTCTGGTCAGTACTTAAATGGGTGACCGCTTCTGAATACCAGGTGCTGTGAGCTTGGATGTGTGGGTGGTATGGCTCACGACCATATCTGGTTGAAACACCGGTCCCAGTACGATCACCGAAGTTAAGCAACGTCGAGCCTGGTCAGTGCCTAGATGGGCGACAACAATGGATAATGGTTCGCAATTGTTAAGCGGAGAGCTGAGTTTCAATTCTCGTTAGGTTTGTTATATTTACTTGGTGTTTATTTTTTTTTTCGTTGTCGTTGGTGAATATCATGTTGGTTGAAAAACAATTTCATCCGACCAAAAAAATAATTTCATCCGACCAATCAATGCTAAATAAATAGAAACCTAATCTATTTTTCTTACTGACTATTCTCTCATCAATGATCCTGTTTGTAAGTTTGTTTATGAAGTGATTTCTTCACCTTTTATTAGATTATTGATAATAAAATGAAGTAATTCGCTTTCTATGATGAGAGATGTTTAGCAGCCTCTCTCACTGCCACGCTATCAGGTATATTCTTTAAGTCCTGACTGAATGAATTGCCACAATATCGGTGTAACACGAAGAAAAATCCCCAACAAAAACACCACAAACTTCTTAAGGCTTTTTTGTTAATATGTTATTTTATTCAGTCATTGGAAAATCTATTAACATTATCCGGACTATTGTCCTCATCTTTGTTGCCATATTTATTACAACGTGTCAGATGTTGTACGCTCCGGCCTTTTTCAGGTGGTTGGAATGCTGAACTGAACCCTTTATTTCGCTCACTGGGGTAGACTGTTCTATTTCCACGTGTCATATTTAATGGATGTCAGTTGTCAGTTATCCCCTGTTAATTCTCCTCTCCAAGTTCTCCACTGCCTTAACCGGGTATTGAAACCACAATATGGGAACCAGTAATAAGGAGTGCCAGAGAAAAGCGATAATAAGAACAAAAATTGCAATATGAGCTCTGGTAAAAACATGTTGATAACAGCAAAAATTGCAATGTAAGCACTTGTTAAAAATGGAGGCTGAAGACATTAGGATTATAATACCCAGAAATTCATATACAGATGTCATCAAGGACACTGTGGATAAAGGCGTTAGTTAGATCACTGTAGTTAAGCAGCATCAAGCTTGAGTTCAATACCCGGTTAAGGCAGTGGAGAACTTTCAAAGATAACTGATAACTGACATCCATTAAACTAGAACAGTCTATTCCAGTGAGCGAAATAAAGGGTTCAGTTCGGCATTCCAACCGAATTCCATTCTGGCCGAAACATTGTGATAAATATGGCGACAAAGATGAGGACAATAATCCGAATAATGTAAATAGTGTGCATAATTCCTCATCTCAGAAATATAGATTGGAAAATCTGTTTAAAAAAGCTTTAGAAATTTGTCAGTTGCAATTATATTAGTAAACACACGATGGTTTCAACCGCTTCAGTTCTAGAGTTCATTTCATGACCTTTTCTGACTGTCCATTACGAAATAAAAGGATCTCTTTCGAGAGACGATCTGGAACACGAGAACACCATATAACGCTCTCTTTTTACTGAAAAGACAAGAAGTGAGGTTAATTCTCGTTGTAGAACAAATAACGTCAACAATTTTTTTAAATATTTGTTTTTCATCTTATCACAATTCGAGATTCACGAATGTATCATTCTCGATAAAATACTACTACGTTTTACTATTTCTTTTAGCAAATGTATTTTTTTTTTATTGGATCACAATTTGAGGCATACGAATTTACCATTATAGATAAGATTTGAATGAAATTATTTAAGTATTTATAAGAGAATAGCCTATTTAACGGACTTGGTCTATCAGATTCATTATTAAACGGACTTTATCATAGGCCCATTATGTTGAATTCTGTGTATTACTTATTAATAAAATATTGTAGGTTGCCTTTCATTTTACTTTGATGATAACCAATATTATATAATTATAATTAAAATAATTGTTATTTATAAGAACATCAGTTTCCATGAAAGATTTTAGATAGGATTTTGGATCTTCGGGGTATAAGATTTAAGAATTATTCAACTACAATAAATAAAAATGGAGTAAATAAACATAATATTTAATATAATTTAGTAAATTTTATAATGTGCTATAGTGCATACTGTATTAGAGCTTTTCCTAGATTAAAATAATCTTGAAAAAAGACTTTTTAGTTAAATTCAGATTTGACGGACTTTCAGCGTTGCATTGAGATTTAACGAGCCTGTAGACTGCGTTTAAGAATGGAACAGTAAGTCATTTAAATTTTAATCTCATTTAAAGAGCAAGTACATGTTTTGGGTTCCCTATATATATATATATATATATATATATATATATCGCCTGAAAATTGCGTTTAAGCATGAAACAGACTATCACCGCTCGATGTTAACCTCAGTGTACACTTTTATTTTTGCATACGCTCTAACCCTGATATTGTGCACTTTTGTCCACAAATATAGCGTACCGTAAAACTACATTTGTATCATTCCCCACCCCATATATATATATATATATATATATATATATATATATATATATATATATATATACATGGTGTCCCGAAAACATCATTTTTTAACTTCCTATAACTTCCTGAACGCTTTTATTTTTTCAGACGCATGCATTTAATTTCATTCAATATTTCATTAAAAGCGTTTATCTTTTTTGTAAGTCGACAAAAATTAATATTTGTTAATTTTAACCATTAATCTAGTTTGCAAGTCTACAATATAAAACATATAATAAACACTGCATTTATTGTTATTTCAAGAGTGAGTACATTTTGGGGGTCACCTTATACTGAATCTTTCTCCTGCTTTTACATCATAAGCAGAGAGGAGAAAAACTTCTTTGACTGGACGAGATTTTGAGCTGATCCCGTCTTTTGTATTTTGCATAGATATTTACCAAACTTAGCCTAATGGGATGGAAAATGAAAGTAGGAATGTGAAGGAGAAAGTTGATATTTTTAGGAAATATATTATTTGTGGGACGCATATTGAGGAAATAGGGCTTGGAGAATTTGATACTCACAAGACAGCTCGAGGGCAAGAGGGACAGAGGAAAACAGTTTATTACATACTTGATGAGCTTAAGTAAATGGATGGCGGAACAGGATTTAGGAGAAATAACGAAAAGAAAAAAAATTATTAAGAGCTACGAAGGACAGGAAATTGTGGAGAGCCATGATCACCAACGTCCTGAGTGGACACGTAACGTAAAAAAAAGAAGAATATTTTGACGAATCGCTGTGTTCTTACCCTGTAGTCATAACTATATTTCCTTTTTCTTTTTTTTTCAGCTCAAACAACCAACATGATTAAACAAACAGCTTTCGTCACTGTCGTTTTGGTGATACTTGTGGTCACTGTGAAACCAGCAAATCTCTACCCCACACCCAGTGTGCCTTTGGAGAATATGGATCCCAGAGATGCTTGTCTCTTTCAGTGTTCCAACTGTTTAGGTGATCAGGTACGTCGATTATTATTATTATTATTATTATTATTATTATTATTATTATTATTGTTGTTATTATTATTGTTATTATTATTTTTATTTCCTTTGATTTCTGGCGTTTACACATTTCTTTCCGGGTCCCACCCAGGGACCTAAGGTTAGAGATGGCATCATGACACTTTCCACTGACAAAAAAAAAAAAAAAAAAAAATACATAGATAATGCCCTTCGTAAAGTGTGGGCTACTTTTGAGAACAATTTTTTGTATCTCTTTCAGGCATGAACTTCCAGGAATCCCTTCAATTAGTCTACTGGAATCTTTTCCAACCAATCCTAGGGCTCCAACTTATTATTATTATTATTATTATTATTATTATTATTATTATTATTATTCCTTTGATTTCTGGTGTGTACACATTTCTTTCCGGGTCCCGCTCAGAGATCTAAGGTTAGAAATGCTATCATAACACTTTCCACTGACCAATTAAAAAAAGATACAAACATATTTTACATAGATAAAGCCCTTCTTAAGGTGTGGGCTGTAGTAGTGAGAACAATTTTTTTGTAGTTCTTTAAGGCATGGCCTTCCAGGAATCCCTCCAATTTGTCTACTGGAAACTTTTCCAACCAATCCGAGGACTCCAACAGGGATGTTGATGTTCCCATGTGGCACAGTTTTGTATTTTCGATTTCAAGGTCCTTGTATTTTGATAACTTTTTGAAGATTTTTCAAAGATATATTGCAATCTGCAGGGACTGCCATATCAATAAGGAGGCACATTTTTGTTTGTTTGCGGTCTTTAATAACAATGTCTGGGTGGTTAGCTTTGATTTTCCTGTCAGTGTGTATTGTGTAGTCCCATAGAATTGTAACAGGTCCTATCTCTGTAACCGGGTCTGGGTGGTATTCATACCAATTTCTTTTAGTTTCCTTCCCGTAGAAGTTGCAGAATTTCTAGTGCAGATATTAGCCCACTCTGTTATGCCGGATTTTATATTCAGTGGGTGCCAATACCGTGCAACCTGATACAAGATGGTCGATTGTTTCTGGATATTTATCACAGAATCTGAATTTTGGGCTAACACAATATTTTAGCATGTGTGCTTGATAATTTGTCGTTAACAAGCATTGGTCCTGTGCAGCAAGGATAAAACCTTCAGCTTTAGCTTTCAACCCTGCACTACGTAGCCATTGATGGGTACGGGGTTTTTCTACATCAACTTGTTTGGTACGGGCAGAGTATTGGCCATTAAGGGGTTTATCTTGCTATGGTTTCTGTATCTGGTCGGTTGCATTTTGTCTTTGCTTTCTTTTTTATGTATTTTGCAGCTTCAGTCGGTGTATTGTGCTTTACTTGTATTTCTGCACCCATTTGAAACTCTATTTTGAACTTGTTGGCTTCCTTTATTGCGGAATAAAATGGCTTCCTACTTTCATGTTCTTTGACACATATCATCAAGTCTTCTGTAGCTTCCCGGTATCTTTGAGGACCAATTATTATTATTATTATTATTATTATTATTATTATTATTATTATTATTATTATTAATTTGAAAAAAAATCTTTTTAATATGTATTTGTTTTAT